ACAGACATCATTCAAACAGCACCCTGTAGGAACAAGAAGTAACACTGTTTTCTGACTGGAGGGAAGTGGAAATAACATCCAGTTTGAAATGAGTTCAAATGAACATGTTGGACATAATGGTGGTGTTGATAAGGGGTACTTTAGTTCAGGAGACTAGGCTGTGGGAGTTAAAGTTTAGGAAGCACTGCTAGTAGGAATGGCCCGGTGCAGTCGCAGAGATTGGTATCGGCTGTATTGAGCCCAATCCGATCCTTAATCAGATCTGTTTTAAATTAGCTGTAACATAGCTGTTTCTACTTGCGAAGCTTTCATGCAGACAGCGAAACACTACCTCAGGCAAAGGCTGCCCTGAAGCAGCGAACAATAGAGGACACTTGTAAAAGGAGAGAGAAATGCCCCTGAAAGACCAAAAAGATTGTAGAAGACAACAACCATGAAAAGAACAGCTGGGATGCAGGCATGTTTTTTTTTAATGCATTGCAGAGCTATTCACTTGTCATGCAAATACAGCAGCTTTTTTTTAATAACTGTAATGTATTGAAGTGTGCACTGTGTGCCGTTATTGTCTAGTAAAATCACTTTTTTTTTAGTCCAATTACCAATGTTTAGAAATGTGAATTTGGTGATTTTATCTCTGACCTTGTTATTCATTCTGATGAGATTGTAATTATTGGTCATTTGGATATTTACCTGCTCTACAACCTTCTGAGTATTGCCTCTGTGGCACTTGTTGATAGTGCAGTTGGTACATGAATCTACTCACTGCGCTGGTAATACGCTTGATTCTAATCAGAATCAGAATCAGAAATACTTTAATAATCCCAGGGGGACTATGCAGGATAGAGGTATCGGCTCTCTGACTGTCTCTCCTATTACATAGGGTACTAGGGTTTCCTATATTATATATATATATATTAATACATTTATTCCTTCCTATAAACATTTGTTAACCCAACAGGGCCCCGGCCTCATCTCCTCACCATCCATTCCTCCAGAAGGTTTGAAAGGGATATTCTTCACTTTCGCCATTTTGTTTTCTTGCTATTAGGACAATTGCAGACTAGCACAGTTTCTGGGTCTGCTTGACTTTTTTCAATGTGTAGTTAGTGTGGCTGTGATAGTATAGTGTGGCATTCTGGATAGAGTAAATGGAGGGCAAGCAGTGGAGATGGAGTGTGAGGCCTGAGGCACCTGCACTGAATATTGGTAGATTCTGGAACTCCCAGTGAGGGAGGAATAGATGTAGCTTTTTTTGGACAAAATGTTACTCAACCTAAAAGTGATTATTTATCAGATTTCCCAATCAGTGTATTTATTGTAACTGATGTGTTTTTTGTGTGTACAGGCCCCAGTCAAACATGCCTCTGCTGGCTGAACTCTCCAGCATCACATACTCTCCAGCTCATCTTCAGGAGAACCTCAACAGACGAGCCCCACCCTATAATAGTACCCCACGTGGCCCAGGTAGAAGCACACTGGAAAGCTGCACTTGAAGCTTTACTTTTCACATAATTTGACTGTTTAGGAAGTTTACCCAACTAATAATAATGTGGAGATGGATCAAATGTCTAGAAAATTTTAATCAACATACGTAAGGCAAGTGTTTTCCCCTGCAACCTGCTTGTACATTGTAGGATCAATATCAAGGAGAGTAGATGGACAGGAGAGGAGAAACAAGAAGAGCACAGACTGAAACAGATTGCTTTCTGGGGTACTTTAGTGACTAAGACACAGTTATTGTACAGTCAGATCAGAATAACTGCCCCTGTTGAGGGTGGATAATGATATTCGGGATAAAGGAGAGTTTCTATTTAATATATACTATATTAATATTGACCATTCCTTGGTCAATATTTTACACATTGTTACTTCACACTGTTAATTTTGTCCTGCAAATGCGTATTTGTAAAATGCTAATTAGGAAGCAGGTTACCTGTATACATGGCGTCCTTCAGGAGAAATCTAGAAGTAATCAGGTTTCCTTAAATCCTCCACCCCAGATACGGAAACCAGATACCAATTTGAATTCTGGTAAAGGAGTGATATAAGTGAAATAAGATGCAAACTTTGCTTGAATTGTGTTTTGACAGATGTACACCAGGGTATGAAGACGGGTGTTATTGATGCCAATATTCCAGTCTCCCCTGCCTGCAGCCAACTCAGTTCTGTGTATGTCGGGATTGAGAGTTTCACCACGCCAAGAGGAAGCTCAGTCAAGGTTTGCTTTAGTCTCTCGTTTCATTCACCAGTGTGAGTTTTTTCTGGGGATTTACCCAAACCATTTTAATCGAGGAACAAAGTGTTAACTCCTCCTTTTAATTGACTTCAGCTGTAGCATCCCATACTGTATGTTCTTCACATTTGCAAAGCTGACCCATATGTGCTGTTACCCTCAATTCTTAGGGGTCCAACTTTTTTCAGCCTCCACCTTTCAAGGTAGACTCTGCCAGCAGTCCCCAGGCCTTCATCACAGCCGGCCAGGACGAACCGCTGTCCACGGATTCTGTGTCCCCCAGCTCCAGTGTCCATGGATGCTGCAGCAGTGTGGAAGGAGAGGACAAAGTAGACCAAGAAGAGGAAGGAGAGGGGGCAGGAGGGTCTGAGCAGGAGCAGAGTGAACTAAGGCAGGAAGAAATGGATGGAACCAGTCAAAGTCAACTAGGGGTATATGTGGGAGAGGTAGAAGAGGAGGGCAGGGAAGAAGAAGAGTTTGATGAATTGGAGAAAGGATTACAGATGGTCAACGAGTGCACGAAGGGAGAAGAAAACATGGGAGAGGAGTACAAGGGAGGAAGGAATGTTGAGGAAGAAGAGAAAGGCTGGGGTGAAGCACAGAGAGGTTAGGACCAACAGTCTGTACATCACCAACATGGCTGCAGTAGATCACTGTATCAAGTTTCATTTCTTTAAATATGGACTGGAAAGGATCAGATTATATGTGATTTGTGCAGTTCACACTGTTTACTTGGTGAATTCTTGCAAATGCCATTACGACTGCAAGAATTAGCCAAAGGAACCTCATTTCTTTAAATAGATTATCTGTCGCATGTACTACTGTCAACATATTTTGAAATTTTCAGCAAATATGATGAAAAATAATATTTAGAGAAGTACCTATTGCAGCAGCTATAGAAATGCTACAAACATGGTAAGCATCAGCAGCAGGATACTATCACTACACAGAGCTATTCAGTGTTACACAATAGGGTTTAAACTACTATGAGCATTACTGTCACTTTGTTCCAGTTCCCTCCATGAAAGATGGGAAACTTGCATCTGGCTATTACACGAGTAGGATCGAAGTCCTAAAATCAGCCTTAGGCTTCACTCGCCACAAACACAGACAGAGTATACGCCGCAGGTACCATACCTGCAGTCCACAACAAGGAGCGCTCAGCAAAGCAGTCTCTACTGGGACTGGTAATAAATGGACTTTAGCGCAAAAACTAACGTATTCATTCAAATTTTGCTGATAACTCAGCATCAGGAGCAATTTGATTAGTGGACTACCCGCTCTACCTCTGAGCCACAGCTGCCCCGCCTTATCATTTCCTGATTACCTGCTGGTCATATGAATGTGTCATATGACTGTGCATGTGTCACCTAGACTCCTAAATACTGTATATAATAAAGGATAGTGCGTAACATTTAGGAGGATCTATTGTCAGAAATGGAACATAATATTCACAGGTATGTTTTCATTAGTGTATAATCACCTGAATATGGGAATCATTGTGTTTTTGTTACCTTAGAATCAGTAGAGTCTGCGGTTGAACTGCCATGTTTCTACAGTAGTCCAGATCGGACAAACCAAACAGTGGATCTAGACAGGGCCTTTTGCATTTTTCTCAAGTTTTGCGACCAGTGTCGTTTCATTTATGCATTTGACTTTGCTTTACAGATGTGGGCTCAGAACAGGATGAAGATGATATTGATAATAGGAGGAAGAAAATGACAGATTTGTTTGGCGGTGCTGAAGAAACATTAGAAAAACCCTTGGTTAACATCAGTAAGCAAACAGACAACTTAACTATCTGGTCTTTAGTTTAAGTGTTTTGTTTTTAAGTGCGTGGTAAGTGTTGGATTTCTCCATTCAGGTGAACTTGGTACAGACACAGTGACTGTGGATCCAGAGAGGAAGGGAGAGCTCACGGTGTCTCCAGGGTCACAGCTAAGTCCCAGCTTATTGGAGGACACAAACAGGTGGGTGACAGCAGCTACAGTGTTTGTTACGTGTGTGCCAGAACCTCTGTCCAGTCCTGTCCAGTACATAGATATAGAAATATAGATACGTATAGATGTATATAGATGGCTGCTGTATACCGTATATATGAGGTCAAGATCGGCTAGTTACCAGTACCAACAGACGCAGACTGCACTAACTGTAATTCGCTTCATTCTGAACAAGATTTGTTGGCAGAACTACCGTACTTTATTATACATTATAAAGTATATTATATATATTTTACCTTTATCAAACAAACTGACATAAACACAGATACGTGTGTAAAGGTGTGTGTGGATACTCTGTAGCAGCCGGGTGTTGTCTGTGTGTAATTTAATAAAGGTAAACACAGTGGCACTGTGCTGGCTGCAGAGTTATCAGCATATGATAATAAACTGAAGGAGATTTTCATACAGTATGAAGCAGCTGTGGACAACAGA